CAGACTAAAAGTAAAGGACATTATAAATGTCTGAGGGATGTGTTTGACTTTCAGGCTAACTGAATTCAGCTTCTCATTATATAGAATTCATCTTCAGCAACCCATGCTTATCGTAAGAGGCGACTAACAGGATCAGTTGGGCAGGCTCACTGATGTGGTTGACACATGTCATTGTATGCCAATTGTCTAGATTGATGCTCATGTTGTTGATCACTGGATTGTCTGGTCTAGACTTGATTATTTACACACCACCACCATAAAGATTGAATATTATTGAATGCGACATTAAACGACAAACAAAACAAAAAATCTTATGTTAGATCAGTTGGTTTACAAAAAAATGTCTTAACCTCAAGATAAATATAAATAACTTTCAACTTTCAGATTAATACTGCCACTTATTAACAAACAACTTCAAAAGGAAGAGTAATTGCACAACATTACAGAAAGATAATTGATTAGATCTTTTGTTCAAATAAATAGAGAATCCTCACCCAAGTGTCTTCTGATATCAATTATATCAACACGAGTTGATAAAGTTACAAATATCCGAGGCTTGCCGAGGATATTTTTACTTTATCAACGAGTGTTGATATATTTGATATCAGAAGACACGAGGGTGAGATTCTATTTATCATCCAGAGTCACTCTTCATTAATTTTCAATGAAAAATGTACACCTCTGAACATGGTACTGCCATTAGACTTGCAGTGCAGCGATGTCATAGCATTGTGATGTCATCAAGTACATGACGTCATAGCATTGTCAGGGCATTGTACAAAATCTACTGTCAAAACGATATCTCCTAGGAGATATCGTTTGATCTCACACAAGCGATATCTCCTGTGGAACACAGTTTGGGATGATAAAGATTATTACGGGTATAACAGAACCATTTCCTACAAAAACTGGTTATAAAACGTCTTTTTACATTTCACCAGATCTAATTGCAAAATAATTGTCCAAAAATAAAACTGTCAAAGGCTGTTATATATCATTTTAAGTTTAAGTCATTTTTGTCAGCCTTGAAAAGCAACTGAAAAACATATAAGGCCTTGCCAAATAGATAAAAAACCCATTTCCTTCTAACACTAAGTTACAGGATTCTTGGGTTCTGGTTAACATGGTTCATGCAGCAGCAATCAATATTTCAGCAATATCTGCTCACAAAAGTCTCACAAGATGCATAGTACATGCATCAACTGTATGATGTACCTATGTTTCAAAACAGAATGTTTGAAGGAACTGACAGCACCATCTCATTCCACAGTTTAGTAACAGAGACAAGTACAGCAAACAAGGCATCAATCTAATACAGGTGAGAAAATGTTGTCTTGCACTGATGTCAGCCATACTGCTGCTGCTGCATCGTGGCATCCAGTAAATAATCAAGTCTGGGAGAGGGAATACTGCATCCGATAACATGTGCAACGATCCCTGGCATCAGGGTATTATTACACATAATTACCTAGGTCACATATAGTACCCAATATAGCCTCCATGTTGGTCCAATCTTAGACCTTAAGAGTACTGGGTGCTGTTGCAACCTTAGCGCTAAGACTACCTTAAGTCTATGTTAAGGTATGTGAGTTACGATCACCTTAGCCCTAAGATCACTTTGTACAACGGCATCCTGGTGCTTATCTTGGGTATATTCTGATGCTAATAATAGTGTTATCATTCTGGGTGCCAGTGTACAATAGGGGTCATATATAGTACTCCATATAGCCCCATGTCAATCCAATTTTAGACCTTAGGGTACTGGTGCCTATCGTACCCGTGAAGATCCGGGGTAGAAAAGGTCTTCAGCAACCCATGTGCTTGCCATAAAAGGCGACTATGCTTGTCGTAAGTGGCGACTAACGGGATTGGGTGGTCAGGCTCGCTGACTTGGTTGACACATGTCATCGGTTCCCAATTGCGCAGATCGATGCTCATGCTGTTGATCACTGGATTGTTTGGTCCAGACTCGATTATTTACAGACCGCCGCCATATAGCTGGGATATTGCTGAGTGCCGCGTAAAACTAAACTCACTCACTGGTGCCTATCCTGAGAATATTCCCATGCTAATAATAATGTTATCATTCTGGTGCCATTGTACAATTACAGAAGTACAGATAAGCTGCGTATCTGTGTAAATTACGCTCATGATGCTCATGCTGTTGATCACTGGATTGTCTGGTCCAGGCTTGATTATTTACAGACTGTCGCCATATAGCTGGAATATTGCTGAGTGCGGCATAAAACTAAACTCACTCACTCAACCATGTCAGTCCAATCTTAGACCTTAGAGTACAGGGCCTAGATTTTCGAAGCTCTCTTATCGCTAAGATAGTTGTAAGTTAATGTTTATGTATGGCACTTACGACTATCTTAGCGTTAAGAGAGCTTCGAAAATCTAGGCCCTGGTGCCTATCGTGAGTATATTCCAATGCCAATAATACTACTATCATTCTGGGTGCCATTGTACAAAGATGTCTTACTGCTAAGGTGATCGTAACTCCCTTACCTTAACAAAGACTTCTGACAGTTCCTTACCAAAGATACATAATAAATCGGTGCCTATATTAAACGTATTCCATTGCTTTCACAGTACTAACATGTTACTATTCTCATGTCATACAAGGAACCTTAAGATATGATATACACTGGTGACTATATTGAGTGTATTTTATTGCTTACACAGTACTAACATGTTACTTTTCTCATGTCATACAAGGAACTTTAAGATATGATATACACTGTTGCCTATATGGAGGGTATTCTATTGCTTACATAGTACTAACATGTACATATTCTCATGTCACAGCAGGCACCTTTAGATATGATATACATTGGTGCCAATATTGAGTGTATTCTATTGCTTATACAGTACAAACATGTTACTATTCTTGTCACACAAGACACCTTACCAATAGACACAAAATACACTGGTACCATTTAAATATCACAAACAAACCAGTAGTTGGCCATTATACCTTCAGTCCCACAAGTCGCACATTCAGTATTATTTGTGAGGTTTTTTTTCTTCACATAGCAAAATCATGACTATAACGTAATTTATATGAAGAAAACTGAATTTTCTATCCTATGCTTAAATAGTCAGATATGGCTGCATAATAATATCTCATTACTACCCTGAAGCGAAACAATAACCGAATCTTACAATTAGAAACATTTCCCTCACATACTCAGAGCTCCAGATAAGATTTAGCTCATGTGGGTACTGTACCCACTGTATTTATTTGGAGTGGGTATTATGAATGTTAAATGGGTTTTTCATTTTCCGTTACCCACTGCTTTCAAATAAGTGCGTAATTCCGTCATTTTACTCATCTAAGTACTATGTCATTGAGTAAGTTTACTAAGCAGGTATGTTCTGCCTCATGTCATACCTAATCAAAACCAACTTAAATATAATGGAAATGATTTCATAAATAAATCACTCATCCCATACTGACAGTACAACACTTGTCCTATACTAACAGTACAACTTGATAGCAATCGATGTCTTTTTCATTACGCAAGTGATTTTTATAACTATATTCCGTACACATTTGTTTTAAACTCTTTGCGTATCTAACATTTTAAATGCGTAATTGGTACGCAACAATTATTTTTCAATGACTAATTGGAAATTTTCTATGCGTATTTTACCCGGATACGCAGCTTATCTGGGCCTCTGCATACTGTAATGAAACATCCTCGTCAAATTACTTCACACTTCACATAATGGGATACACATAATGAGATACACATAATGAGATACAAGATAAGATCAGAATTCTTGTCCCAACAAAGGTAACAAGTTGACAATATGCATATCCAGAGCATTTACTTCATATGGCCTAAATGGAATATATATTCATTTTTTTTATACTCCTGACATTAATAGCTACTAACTGTCATATCAAATGACAGTATACTTATCACACGAGTGGGTAAACAATTCCTGATAAAATATTGCTCCATAAAACCTTTCATAGCTGACACAGAGGGATAAGTGTTAAAAAGTTTCATACCATAAACACTGTCACCCGAGATCAGGGATTAAAACTATACATATAGCACTTCTATTTACATATAAAGTATTTCCTTAACATGAAGTTCTTGAAAGGCATTTAGAAGTTGGACAAATTTGAATACATGACACGTCATTCCCCTGATGAAGGAGCAAGAATAAGCTCTGAAACGTCGCAAAAAGAATAAAAAGAAGTTGTTATCCATAAAAACGTGTCATGCATTCACATTTCCTTAACAGTACCCAGTGTCTGACTGAAAATTAGTAAGGCTACAAAGATTAAATGTCATCTGTAATGATTATAATGAAAATACTGCAGATATAATATTACAGATATATAAACATAACAAATATAAGGTTACATATAATAAATACAAGGCAATAAAACATATACAACAGTTTATGAAATTGTTACTTTCAAGGATTGTCCCTTTTTTCATGTAGTACAACAAATTGTTTACTCATTGCAACATAAATACATTTCTGTGTTGTATAAGCAATTTATTACCTTTCTAGGCGCAAACTGGACTTAATTTTAAGCGATATCCTCAATATTGCACAAAGTGCATCCGATATACACTGCATACACACACCTGAACCTCGGTGAACGTTGCTTTTCAATCGTCAACTTTGACAGGCGTGTCCCCATCGATCTAGCCACAACATCGGCAACACATTGAAAGTGCATTTAATAAACGAACGCTCCAGACTACAACATACTGCGAGATATGACCCTTTGGAGATGCGAAATACTGCCTCTCATTAGAAATATCTTCTGCTTGATGCCAAGTTTGGTTCTCAACCCAACATAGCGATAAGCAAGCCCTTCCAAAAGTTTGTTTACAAAATCCCCGGGGTAGTCTCCGGCGCTTACAGATTAACAAACACAACAAAATCTTTCCTATCAGCTCAGTACTGTTATAATGCATTTCGTGTGTAATAAAGGGATACAATCACAGAACCGACAACTTTCTTACCCGTCAAGGAAAGTCTTCTCACACCGTTCTCACGTCAGCCATTCTCGGGTTGGCAGTCATTTTCGACCGAGATTATCTCTTTGTTTTGTGCATATACACAAGACAATATGTCAATATATTGATCTGGTACCACCCAACAGGTACAACACAAACGCTCGCTGGTCACATAAGCATACAGCTCGCTGTCGATCAGCTAAAACCCTTACCTCTATTTAGCAAGATGTATGTCCGCCATTTTGGATCCGTCTGTTCCAAATGTCGACTGCTTTCAAGCCCAAATCTGATGGGGGGGAGGTGTTGTTACCGTAGTGTATCTTATTCGGGAGGCGTTACACACCGGTTCGGCACCACTCGAATACACGCTCTGCCGTTTGTTGATTCAGTCTCGGATATGCGTGGGTGACACTTAATATGTATTAAAATGCGAAGAGATTGTAACTGTATCTTAACTTCAAATTGTATTGAAAGGGTGAATCGCCGAGAGCGGTTGATTATGATGTTGACATCTACGCTATACTCTCGTGTTTCATGACTGATGCGCACCTGTTTTTAACTTGTACACACGATCTTGTGACTTTTGTAAATAAGAAACAAGAGCCATATGTAATTATAATTAGAAAAGATTTAATGCGATCCTAATATGGAGTGCGTTCGGAGATGACTGAGATCTTATCAACTTGGGAGCTGTCTTGATCAGAACCCTTATTGGTTGGCATTGATCAGAGCGTATATTGGTTCGTCTTGATTAGAATTTATATCGGCGTATGGGTTTTTACTAGGACGTATGTTGGTGGGTCTTGAATAGGCCGTATATCGGTGAGTCTTCAACAGGGCGTATTGGTGAGTCTTCACTAGGACGTATTAACGAGTCTTTACTAGGGCGTATGTCGGTGAGTCTGTACAAGGGAGTATGTCGGTGAGTCTTGAATCGGGTGTTTGTCGGTGAGTTTTGTATAGGGCGTATTGGTGGGTCTTGACTAGGACGTATATCGGTGAGTCTTCAAGAGGGCGTATTGGTGAGTCTTCACTAGGACGTATTAGCGAGTCTTTACTAGGGCGTATGTCGGTGAGTCTTTGCTAGGGCGTATTGGTGAGTCTTCACTAGGGCGTATGTTGGTGGGTTTTACTAGGGCGTATGTCTATGGGTCTTTACTAGGGGGTATGTCTATGTGTCTTTACTAGGGCGTATGTCGGTGGGCCTTCAATGGGGCGTATGTCTCTTGGTCTTCACCAGGGCGTATGTCGATGAGTCTCAAGCACGCATGTAGTGGCGACTATTAACCAGGAGGTATGACGGTTCAGAACGGATTGTTTAATATATTTCCAGATTGTTTCACCTATAACTGCCATAATTGGGATTCGGGATCGGGTGGTCAGGCTCGCTGGCTTTGTTGACACATGTCATCGGTTCCCAATTGCGCAGGTCGATGCTCATGCTGTTGATCACTGGATTGTCTGGTCCAGACTCGATTATTTACAGACCGCCGCCATATAGCTGGAATATTGCTGAGTGCGGCGTAAAACTAAACTCACTCACTCACTCATAATTGGGATTAATCGACGGTCATGTTACAGAAACGTAATGTAACGATATTAACGGAAAGAACGGGCATTGTTTGGCGCCGCATGTTCTGTCAATATCAACATACCAAAGCTGAGATTAATACGCAGTGAACCCGGATTTCGTATATTATTGCTGTTGTTCCTGGTGAGCTATACCAGCGCCACAAGACCGAGACGGACCACTTGATCCGTTTAGCGGCCTCTTACGATAAACATACATAGTGGGGATCGTAACCCGGATTCTCACCTGTGAGAATCTTCTTGTACGTTTCACCAGAGACAGAAGTGGTGAACTTCACAGACCTGCGTTACGTATGACCTTTTCCCTTTAATGAAGAAGCAGAAGAATATTTTATTTCATACTATTCAATTTGGCTTAAACCAACGTCAGGGGCGGTGGGGTAGCCTAGCGATTAAGGGATTCACTCGTCACGCCGAAGGCCCGGGTTCGAGTGCCCACATGGGTACAATGTGTGAAGCCCATTTCTGGAGTCCCCCGCCGTGACATTGCTGGAATATTGCTAAAAGCGGCGTAAAACCATACTCACTCACTCACTAAACCAAACTCAAATGTTATCCAATATGTGAACACCTCACATTTCTTCTTTACAATGCGGGGTGGTAGGGTAGCCTAGTGGTTAAAGTGTTTGCTCGTCATGCCAAAGACCCGAGTTCGATTCCCCACATGGGCACAATGTGTGAAGCCCATTTATGGTGTCCCCCGCCGTGATAATGCTGGAATATTGCCAAAAGCGGCGTCAAACCATACTCACTCACTCACTCTTTACAATACCTCTGTGAGACAGAGCCTTATTTACATATCTCCTCACAGTGTATAAGGCAATTGTCAGATAGCATCAGCTAGGCGTCCTCATATTACAACGTTGCTTTATCGTTGTCGTCATCGACGTCCTGGTGTTGTCACTACAGAGTTATCACAAGCTGTATTGTTCACGTTAGTGTAACGTCACTGATGGTGAGGTTGATAACGCTGTACGTGACAACATCGCCACGGCAGTCACGCTGACGTTGAACGTGAAGCGTAAACTGACACACAAAAAACCTGTTTACATGATACATAGCTGCGGCGATAGGTGATGCGATATGTTTGCTCGGGAGGTCAAAATTTTTAATTTCTCGGATTTCACCATGTTTTAAGGCATGCAAGAATTGATTTTTCATGTTTAGCCAATGTTCCCATTAAAACTTGATTTTAAAGCTATTATCAATAACAACACAATTGTTATTGTTACACCAATATAATGATTAGTATCAGGACTATACACTCTCACACATTTCGAGGTAAAACAGTATACTTGTGCCGTGTCAAATGGATCACGACCGACTAGTTCTAAGGTGGAGGGGCGGTGGGTTAGCCTAGTGGTTAAAGCGTTCGCTCGTCACGCCGAAGGCCCGGGTTCGAGTCCCCACATGGGTACAATGTGTGAAGCCAATTTTTCATATCCCCCGCCGTGATATTGCTGGAACATTGCTAAAAGCGGCGTAAAACCATACTCACTCACTCTAAGGTGGACCTTAATGGATATTAACCGTGGAATAAAACTCTGATCCTTTGCGAGATGAGCAAATGTTAGCATCTGTATCTGAAGTATCATAGCAAAGGGCTTTCGTGTCAGTTTCGTGTCAGAAGATCCATGCATCACTGGTGCTGCCATTACCCAATCCTCGATCGCACGCTTTTACAGGAACTACGGTAAGGGGGGCTTGTGGAGGAAAGTTTGCAAATGTTTATCTGCGGACCGCCGCCATAGGGAATAGCTACTGGTATCGCGAGAGAACACTAACTTAGGAAGTTAATCTGAAAAAGGGAATCCTTCAAAATAACAATTTAAAATCTTGAGTTTACTTTTACATGGTTTTGTTTTTTCTATTTTTGGTGTAGACTTCCGCCACGGCAATAAGCATATGTGTAGCCTGGATTAGCGTGCCACTGTTGCCTCTTGTATTGCCTCGGAAATAGTGGCCGCTATCTCCCAGGCGAGCCCATCACGGGAGGGAAGAGTCCATGGGGAACCATTCCTGGAATTTCCAAGCATTTGGATGTTATTGTGAAAAACGATTTACCAATGTGATGAATTACAGGTGTAAATATTAATTACAGGTAGAATACCAGAATTTGTGTAATATACACAGCGTCTATTTCTTTAGTGTTCGTATTTATTGTGAACCATTCCTGTAATTACATATCCATTGCATATTATTCAGTGCTTGTATCCCCCATGGATGTCCCATCCTTTCCATATCCCATCAGAATTGCGGGTGCATGAGTGAGTGGGTTTGGTTTAACTCCGCCTTTAGCAATATTCCAGCAATATCACGATGGGTCATCAGAAATAGGCTTCACACAGTGTACCCATGTGGGAAATCGAACCCAGGTCTTCGGTGTGACGAGCGAACGCTTTAACCACTAGACTACCCCACCGCCCCCATCAGAATTGCTATGTTTGTTTTTACCATTGTGATAAATTATAACGGTAAATTTTAATCACAGGTAGACTACAAGCGTTTACAAATTTTCACCAGCGTCTGTTCTCTATAAAAACATTTAATTTAGTTTTCATCGAAGTGATAAATTACAGGTGCAAATTTTAATTACAGGTAGTGCGTAAGCATTTTCAAATTTACACTTGCGTCTTTTTTGTTTGTATGTATGTATGTATGTATGTATGTATGTATGTATGTATGTATGTATGTATGTATGTATGTATGTATGTATGTATGTATGTATGTATGTATGTATGTATGTATGTATGTATGTATGTATGTATCGTTGCGATAAATTACAGGTGTAAATTTAAAACAAAGCTAGTTTTACCAAAATATGTAGATTTCAATTAAGTCATATTATATTTTGCAATTCTAGTTAAGCCATGTAACCTGTGTTGTCTGTGACCTTGTTGTGAATTACAAACGTGGAAGATAAGATACAAAGGTTTCGCAAGACATTATCTTTGTTAAAAGGGATGGTTTGTGACAACCAACTGTTTCGTCCTTACACCCCACGTGACCTGCATTTGAGATCGTTTGCACATGTTTACCCATATTTGGCAACGGCGCATTTCGTGTACACCGCGTCAGGTAAACAGTTCCATTAATAAATGAAACTTAAAACTCAACATAAAACACGATCAATAGTAAAGCTGAAGTTAGACGATATATTTTGGCTGAGGTGTGCTTTATCTACAGGCCACGATGTTGTGTTGTGTCCAAATTACCCACCTCGCTGAAATCTGTCTTGGTGATAAACCCTCTCCGTCTTGTAAAACTGTAAAAGCCTATTTATTGATTTGCTATTCGTATTAAAGGTATTCTATCCTACTGGTATCGAATTTAGATGGACAGATATAGCTGTAATTATTACTTTTTCGGTCATTGTGCAGTTCAGTCTGTTATGGGAGGCATATGTGAAATAGACTAAAACGTTAAATCGACAAGATTCCTATACCGTGAGTGAGTATGGTTTTACGCCGCTTTTAGCAACATTCCAGCAATATCAAGACGGGGGACACCATAAATGGGCTTCACACATTGTACCCATGAAGAGAATCGAACCCGGGTCCTTGGCGTGACG